TGCGGGCCAGGGGCGGGACTCTCCCGAGAAGCACTGCGAGCCGAGGGCGGCAGAACCACCCACCCTGGGCCCTCCAGAAACTCACCCGGCCCTCCAGCTTTGCAGTTCCCGGGAATTTGCCGCTCCGGCAGAACGTCATCGCGCATGGGCAGTGGTAGCCAATCACGGCCCGGGAGAAGGCCCCGCCCAGGCCGAGGGGCGGAGACTGCCCTCCAGCCGCGCGCACTCCTACCTCCCTCCGAGCCGCGGTGGCTCGGGGCAGTCTGGACCCGCAGTGTGGCGGCGGGGAAGGGCGTCTGGGTAGACCTGGCCCAGTGGTCCCCGCAGAGAAGTGGGTGTTCAGTTCAGGCCACTTCCGGCTCTGGAGTCATCCCCCCTGCAGCCTGGCGGCTCTTGGGGTTCCTGCATCTTTGGTAGGATTGCAACTGTGGCCACTATTTCCGGTTCTTAAGGCAACTGCATTGCAGGGGAGCCATGAGAAATGAGGATTCTTAGGCCCCCAGCCATGCCGAATCAGAAATTCTGGGGCGTTTCCGCAGATCCTGCACATGCTCCTGCTGCAGGTGAGGTTCGGAAACCACTGCTTTATGTGATGCCTCCACCCCAGCTGCCTGGCCTCTCCAGGATATTTTGACCGGCTATGGCTGTTTCCCAGCTCATTGGTTGGTGAATTTGCGTTTTTCTGGCCCAATGGAAAAAAAACAGTAGCTGCTTATATGGCCAAGATGGTGGAAAAGCAAGAGACCAGGACCAGGCTTGGGTCTTCCTTAAAATCTAGGCAAAACATTTTTAAATCTAGACCATTTATCATAGTCCAAATTCCCTTTTCTCGTCGGAGTCAATCTCTTCTGAAACGCTGTTACTGGGTTGCTAACAGGAATATCTGAGACGGGGTGATTTATAAATTGAGGTTTATTTGGCCCACAATTCTAGTGGCTGGAGAGGCCAAAAGTGCCAGGCCAGCGCGTGTCACAACATAGCTGAGGAAGCAGAGAGGGTGGAGGGTGTGTGCAGAGAGAGCAGCCTGGGGACAGCGATCTTTTATAACCTGCTCTTGCAAGAATAACGCCTTCTCATGAGATCTAAAACTTTCAAGCAAGTCAGCACTAGTCCATTCATAAGGCAGATGCTACTGTGATCCAGTCTACCCACTAGGCCTTACCACCTCCCAATACTACTGGGGACTACATTTCAAAAAGTAAAACTTAAGAGAACATTTTATTTATTCATTTATTCTGAAATATTTTTGCTATGAGGCATGTGTGCTTGCCAGATAGAGACAGAGAGGCAGTGAGAAATCATCCATCCCCCACGGAGGTGGCCATGCCCCAATACCTTCTCCTCCATTCTCCTCTTGGGATTTTCGGCAGGCAAGCAGTGTGTTCAGCTTGAGTTTCAACCTGCTGGGTCCAGCATTTACACCACGGTGGGCCACATGGGAGTCCAGCACCTTAACCACTATGCCACTTATTGACCTCATGGAGGATAAACCATCATCTGAACCATGGCATAGTTAGTGCAAGGAGACACAAAAACTCTCTTGCCATTTGCTTGTTGTGGAATATACAATGATCACAACATTTCCCCCTTTTTAAAATTAAATCTGTCTTCTGAAACGTGGCCAACATAGCATTTAACAGGTTGAATAAAATTATTTTCTTGACGATTTTCTGGATAGGAGTCAAGTGAAGAGAAAGGTGACCTTCATAAGGAAGTTCATGCCTTTTCTTCACAGGATTCTTGGATCAAAGGCCCCTATGTCCAAGTGCTGGTTAGGTCTTCGTATTTATTATAGTCCATACAACTCAAGGGAATTGCCCTTAGGCCTAAATGAAACCAGGTCGGACTCAATATTTCCTAATGCCAATGGCATAGAACAGTGATTTTTGCTGTTTTTTTTTTTTCTTTCTTATTTTTAGAGAAAAGGATTTTTGCTACAGAGTGTGTGTGCTTGCCAGAGAGACAGAGAAAAATGCCCCCCAGGGGGATGGCCATGCCACAATCCCTTCTTCTCCATTCTTGTCACAGGATCTTAGACTCAGCCATATACGTGCCTGGCATTAGTCTCAAGCCACTGGGTCTGGGACTCGAACTGTGGTCAGCCATGTGGGAGTCCAGTGACGCAACTGCTACGCCATCTGTTGGCCCTGGCAGAGGTCTTTAATGTAGATAGTTATGAGAAAGGGTTTGAAGACCGTCAAAGGAAAAGATAAAGGGTAGCCTTGCTCTTCAACGTACCACGTACGAAAATTTCACTTACTGTCTTCAGTGTTACCGTCTCTCTTTTGTTTTGTTAATGGAGCACAGACATAGGCACCAGTTTGAGAACTTCATCTAAGTATAGAAATGAGCTGGTCCACTTTTAACTAAGTCATTAAAAAAAGATTTTTGTTTGGACAATCAGAAGCAGAGAGAGACAGTACCCCCAACAGAGTCTTCATGCTGCGGTCCACCTCTAACTTCGGTCAGCCCCCATCATGGGCATGTGCATGTCCGGCATACTCAGGGAAGTCTCTGAAGGGAAACCTGAAACCTTTCCAAGGTGTGGGCCTCACAGAGCAATGCATTTCAGTGTTGTGACACTGTCTGGCCCCAGTGATCATTTTCTTAAGCTGGTGAAATACTGTTAAGATTTCTTTAGATTTGTTCTTAAGCTCCAAACTAACTTCCTAATTACAGTTACAGAGACAGAACAGTGCTCAGACATTAGTTAAAAAACAAGCAACAACAACAAAAAAGGGGGCTGGGACTAGCAGATGGTGTAATGGCTGCGTCACTAGACTCCCATGTAGTCGACTACAGTTCGAGTCCCAGACCCGGTGGCTTAAACTCATGCCAAGTGCGTGTGCGTGTGTGCCCAAGATACCCAGAGGAGAATGAAGGGATCAGCATGGTCATCCCCCCTAGGGGGTGATTTCTCACTTTCTGTCTGTTTCTCTTTCTGACGAGCATACACACCCTATAGCAAAAACCATCAGCTGGTGCACACTCTCACATGGCCAACCATGGTTCAAGTCCCAGGCCTGGTGCCTTGCTTTCTCACTTTCCTTCTTTCTGTGTGTCTTTCTATGGTCAAATTAAAATAAATGAACAAATAAATAAAACGAAATAATTCTTAAAAAAAAATTTTTTTGCTAGCATAATCTTGTTTTTGACAATGACCCTTAACTAAAAATCTCTGGTAGTGTCAAATTTATCAAATTATTTCTTTTATAAAAAGAGGCTTACATTTTTAAGAAGTAGGCATGCGTTCCTCTAGAGCGTCCTGGTTTCAGGTAGTCACTAAGTTCACATCTGCATGGTTTAGGGATATGAAAAGGCCTTCGAGGGAACCAGCAGTTAGCATAATGGCTATGTCGCTGGACTCCCATGTAGTCGACCGCGGTTTGTGTCCTGGACCCGGTGGCTTAAAACTCACACCGGGCGCGTGTGTGTGCGTGCCCAAGATCCCGAGAGGAGAATGGAGGAGAAGGGATTGCCGTGTGACCATCCCCCCTGGGGGGTGATTTCTCGCTTTCTGTCTCTATGTCTCTCTCTGTCTGTCTGGCGAGCGCACGCGCCCTACAGTGAAAATCTCTCAAAAAAAAAGGCCTTCGATACAATGCTGAAGAGCCATGATCACGTCATCGGGTCTCCCCAGTTAGGAACAAAACAAACGTTGTGCTGTCCTCCTAAAGTAGCCTTGGACTTCGGCCCTCCAAACAACAGGACGCAGCAGATGCTGGTGGGCTGTCTGCCACTCTGCACATTCCCAAGCTTTGAGTACTGCAGAGCACTATGAAAGACCCATTTATGGGACCAGCAGGGGGCGTGGTGGTTCACGCGCTGGACTCCCACATGGCCTACTTGGATTTGAGTCCCAGACATGGCGGCTTGCTTTCTCACTCCCCACCTTCTCTGGTGAGCACATGTGTCTTACAGCAATTTAATAAATAAATAATTCTTAAAGAAAAACCCACTTATTCCAGCTCTTGTGGGACTGGGGGGAGACAATCCTCCGTGCTGCACACTTGCACACTGAGGTTGGTCACTGTGTGATGGTCATACTTGATGTTTATCCTCCTTCAGCCAAGCACAAGTGAGCAGGAATCACTGGGGCTGTTTATGTTGGTATTTGCGTCACAGAAGAGTCTCTGGAGATGTGAGATTATAAACCCGTTTGATTCATTTTATCTGTTAATGAGTGACAAGTACATTTTTCATGCCATCCTTGTAACTTTGATTTTACATGGAAAAATTTAGTAGCAAAGACTCAAATGAGAACGAAGTATTGTTCACACTTCATTAGGTCCTTAGAGAATGTTGACAGGTAGAAACTTTCCGAAAAATAAACTTTTATTAGAAGATGAAGAAGTTAAAATAATTAAGGAGACATATGCTTCACAATGTTTTCCACTTTTTAATTGTAGCTACATTTGACCATACATGTTAGAAATATCAAAGATGAACAGAATGAAGGACAAAGCTTTTTTTTTTTGGAGATTTTTGCTATAGGGCATGTGCATTCCCTGGAGAGACAGAGGCAGAAAGTGAGAAATCACCCCCCAGGGGAATGGTCACACTGCAATCCCTTCTCCTCCATTCTCCTCTTGGGATCTTGGGCGGGTACGTGCCCGGCGTGAGTTTCAAGCCATTGGGTTTGGGACTGGAACCGCAGTCCACTATGTGGGAGTCCAACAAGGTAACCATCACATCTGCTGGTCCCCAAAGTAATCGTATTTTAATCACTTACCTACTTGGAAATTCCTGACTTACTATGGAAAGATCACTGAAACCCTGGAATAGTTACCTACGGGCCCAAGTCCACAGTAATGGAGTCTGTGCTGTTACCTTCTATCGGTTTTAGAAGACTTTGAGGAAGGGGGCATACAAATCACTAATAAAAGTCAAGCAGCCTTCCTGGCCTTCCTCACTGAGGTGTGGTCAAGTATTCTATTAATGACCTGATTGTGAACTTAATCTCATCCATTCACTTTACAAAGGGGAGTGCTAAGTATACGTGGTGCTGCTTGCAGATTGGGACAGTCAGGAGTCCGCCCTTAGGGAGTCTCTGGTGTCCTTCGCTGTGGGGAGGGACTGGGATGGGGAAGGAGGGAAGTTCCACTAGGGGCCGGGTAGGTGAGTACATGATCAAATGTGGCACTACTTTTCTGAACTCCTTTATACAAAATTAAACAACAAAGCAAACCGAGTGTGTTACTCCTGAGAAGCAATGAACTGAATTCTAAGTCAAGTGGAATATGGAGTTTGAGGTGCTATGACCTCTACTGGCTGCTACTTTCTGCAAGTCTTTTTTTTTTTTTTTTTAAGGCTTTTTGCCATAGGGCATGTGGTTGTGGAGAGAGAGGGAGAGTGGGAAATCACCCCCCTGGTGTGACTGGGTACTGGGGTACTGGGTGAAGGCCACACCGCAATCCCTTCTCTGTTCTCCTGGAACACTGGGCACACATGCCTGGCCTGACTTTCTAGCCCTCAGGTCCAGGATGGCCATGTGGGAACCAGCACTCCAAACACTACACCACCTGCTCACCCCCCAAATCGACTTCGGTTTTAAAAAGGGGGCCAGCCTATGGTGTGGTGGTTAAGGAGGCTGGGTCCACATGGCCAGCTGTGTGATTCAAATCCCAGACCTGGTGGCTTGAGAAACATGCTGGGAACGTGTATACATGCCCCAAATCTCAACAGGCATGGAGAAAACACTGCGGTGTGACCATGCCCTGTGGGGGGATGCTTTCTTGCCCTGTCTCCGTCTGGTGAGTACACGTGCCCTCTGGCAAATTAAAAAATAGGAAAAAAAAAGTATTCAGATAATTGAAGGTAGTTAACAATTCCTGTGATACCTTTTTCTCTAATGAAACATAATTTCTTAATTCTTTAATATAGTCTTAAGAATATCTTATTTCCAGGTGGGGGTGGGGAAGACACCATTGACATGGTCTCCTCGCCTCACTCTGTATTCTTTTTTTTTTAAACAATTATTTTATTATCATTATTATTTTTCAGTTTGATCAGAGAGACAGAGAGAGAGAGAGAGAGGAAGTGAGAAAGCAAGCCACCAGGTCCAAGACTTGAACCGTGGTAGGCCATATGGGAGTCCAGCGCCTTTAACCACTATACCACTTACCAGCCCCCTCACTCTATATTCTTTTCCTAGCCCTTCAGCTTGTCAGGGCCTGGGGCATGCACACCTGTTGTGTTTCAGGTCGGCTGGGGATTTGAACCCATGGTTGGCCGATGTGGCTTCCAGCACCCCTAATCAGTATGCTACTGCCTGGATCACTACGGCGAGGTCTAAATGAACACTTTTTTTTTTTCTTTTTTAACTATTAAGAACTATTGCCTGGGACCAATAGGTGGGATGGTAGGTAAGGTGCTGGACTCCCCATGGCTGACTGGTTTGAGTCCCAGACCTGGTGGCTTGCTTTCTCGGTTTCTCTCTCTGGTGAGTGCATGGGCCTAATAGCAAATTTAAATAAGTAATAATAAAGATTAAATAAATAATTCTTTAAAAAAATCTATTGCTTGGTTTTTAACTGCACCACATCAACTCTTGTAAGATAAAGCATGTAAAAATGGGGAGATGTGACATACTATATATGTTTATGTGTGTATGTACATTTTAGTTTTTGTTAAAAATAGGGCACGTGTGATCACCCAAGACGGAGAGAGAAAGTGGAAGCCGCCCCCGTGGGGATATCCATGCTGCAATCCCTTCTCCAATCTCCTCTCAGGATTTTGCGCACACATATCCAGGATGCTTTTCAAGCCATGGGGTCCAGGACTCGAACAGTACAGTCAGCCATGTGAGATTCAGTGGCCTTACCCACATCACTTGCTGGCCCAAGATGTTTAAAATGATTAAGATGCACTGCACCAGTGATTCTAGTAATATTGCCTATCTGCCAAATTGAATGCCGCATCATTTACCACTTTACCAAATCACCAAATATGACAAGGAGACAATTTGTTTAAGAAAAATTTTACTAGTATGTCGCTATTTCAGCAAAGTTATTGCAATGGGTTTCAAAGGCAGACAGACACACTGATCAACAGGCTCTAAAGTAATAAAGGAGTTTAGACAAAGTATTACACAGACCTGTGGGATTTACTGAAAGACAGACCCATAAAGAAATGAAATCTGAAAGGTTAAATCCAGTATTTAGCACCTACAATATCTCTGAAAGTAAAACGTTTAACTGTTTCAATCTCTCCTAATACTTTCTAGCTTTCTTCCAAATACAGTGCTTTCAAACCCCAAAGATGAATGAAGTGCATAAGAAGCCCCGATACTAAGAACATACAGCTAAAAGAACTAGAAATGTTAACTCAGACTTGAGAGTTTTACTTGGAAAGCACTTAACTTACTGTAACTGAACTGATCATGAGATTTCTGTGCATCGAATACTGTATATGAGGAAAATCTATGAATCGTAAGGTTTGCCAGTAGGGATAAAAATGAGCAATACACAGTATTATTCCTATCAAATGTTTTCTCATAAGTTATATTTATAACAAAACTGTAATTAAAGTATTTATCACACTTGCTTATTACACATTCGGGGACACAGCAGGGACATTTACATGTCTGATGGCTTGGCATCCACTTCATTGTGCTTGCTTATTTCTGTGATGGACAGGCTACACAAGCCACATCTTCCCAACAGGCAAGGTAATGCAGTAATAACGTCAAGTTCTCCAAAGAAAATAACTGGAAACTGTTTAAATACTGCTTTAATTAGGAATAATGGCTATAATAAAACAAATAACAGTATACATTACTTTCCAATGAACTTCAGTTTGAGAAACGGAATAGTGGAAATAGATCTTGAGATCTGAATCATGGCCTAACTGGTAGTTCTCTGAAATCTGGGAGATGCGTGAACAAGTCCTCAGGCGCAGTCTAACCCTCGCCCAGACCCTGGAGCACAGCCGTGTCATTCACCTACGGAACAGACTGAACCCAGCTAAGATCTGACGTGCTGAAGTCTACGCCACCTGGGACGCCGGCCCAAGGAAGAAGAGAACCAATGGTACTGGCTGGAGATCGAGAAAAAATGTTGCATTGGGCTGACCGGCTGCGTATTTTAATAAATGGCTCTGAATAAAAAAGTGAAATGCTTCCTTGTGTTTTCTCAAAAACGAATCAAAAGATTACAGAGTCCTACACAATCTGGAGCCCCGAAGTGGATGCTGAGCGACGAGAGGTCACTCCAGGTGTGGAATTTAGAAAGGTAGTCCTTGGAGTACATGGCACCGTGGCTCTGGCAGCAGATACAAAGGAATGATGCTCTGGAGAGGAGGTAGGGACGCTGCGATCGGCCAGTGGACAGACGAGGGTCCCAGCTAGAGGCGGGATCTGTTATTAGACAGCGAAAGAGCAGGTTTTAGAAAGGGATGCCAAAATCTCCCTCTTCTATCCACTGATCTGAGCTTATAATGCCGGCTATGTCCTGTTAACCCAGTTCTAGCTGACAACGTGCGTGGATGTGCGCTGCTTGTCTACACGAGCACAGAGGGCAAGAGCGCCGACACCGAAGTCTGGAGTGTTTAGATCCGGAACCACCACGGAAGGGGAGGCAGTGCAGCGCAGCACAGCACAGGGCGGAGTGCGATCACGGCACCTGCTGTCCTGGAGGCTCCCTACTAGCTGTTTAGCCACAGACAAGTGCCTTAAACTCCCTGGGCCTTGGTTTCCTCAGCTAAAAACAAAAACAAACAAAAACAGCGGAGAGCAGTTTCTACCTTGTAGGGTTGTTGTGATGATTAAAATGAAGCACTGTGAACAATACAGGCATATTATAAATGCCAGCGAGTATTCCCTATTTTATATCGCTCGTTAATTTACTGTGATAGAACAATCATCTATTCCGTTTCTTATAAAAAGACAGTATTTTAAATATGACTTATTTTATAGATAATTTATTTAATTCCATTTGTTATTATTATTTTTTAATTTGACCAGACAGAAACAGAGAAAGAGAGAAAGGGAAAGGGAGAAAGCAAGCTGCCAGGTCTGGGATGCGAACTGCGGTTGGCCTTGTGGGAATCCAGCACCCCTAACCACCATGCCTGCCAGCCCCATAAAAAGACAGTAATTTTAATCGAGAGAAAATACAACTAGTGTATTTAATAATAAAAATGTGACAATGAAGGCATATAATATACAAGATATTTAAAAAATTAAACTTTAGGGGCCAGCAGGTAGCGTGCTGGTTAAGGAGTTGGAGTCTTACATGGCCGACCGGAGTTTGAGTGTTGGACTTGGTGGCTTGAGACTCGCGCTGGATGCATGTACGTGCATGCCCAAAATCCCGAGAGAAGAGAGTGCAGTGTGGCCATCTCCCTAGGGGGTAATTTCTCACTTTCCCATTCTCTCTCTGAAGAGTGTATGTGTCCTATGGCAAAAAAAAAAAAAAAAAAGGCTTTTAAGAGCCAAAATTTTTGTCTAAAGTTCCTTTTAAAAATAAAGGCTATGGGGCCAGCATGTGGCATGGTAGTTAAGGTGTTGAACTCTCATGTAGCCAACCACAGTTCAAGTCCCAGACCTGGTGGCTTGAAACAAGGCTGAGTGCATGTGCGCGTGTGCCCAAAATCACCAATGAATAGAGGAGGGATGGTGACAAGGCCATCACCCCGGGCCATGATTTCTCACTTTCCCTTCAAAACATACATGCATAAAGACTACCCCATAGTTGGTGTATTATTTTGTTAAATCGTTAATTTAATTCCCATATAATTCTTCAACCTGCAGACACCTTGCACCCCAAATGGTAGAACTGAATACATTTTTCTTAGTTTCCCCCTCCAAGATCTTGCCTCACACTGGCCCCTGAATACATGGCTCTGAAACGAACAGTGTCCAACAGAAATATTTGTGTTAATGAAACTACCCAGAGATTCCTAATGTAAATCTCACTCACTTCAAAATTTCAGGTTGTTTGGATATTGATAGATTAGCCTCTGGTATGAGACTGTTCAAAACTCCACACCACCTGCAAGACACGTTCTAGCAGGCAGTAAGAGCTACACAGGGAGTCGTGGCAAAGAGGGATGCCAAGCTGGCGCAGCTGCAATTGATAAAACAAACGTACTCCATGGCACCAAATGAAGACCACACGGAGGTTCCTGGTTGCGCGTCTGAAAACTGTCAGTTTGGAAACTGTAGATGAGAAAGTGTGTAACCAAATAACACTAAGTGTCCCCAAACAAAGCCTTCTTAAATAACACATGTCAGCAGATGTCATCAGTTAGATCTCTGGCTTTCAAGAATCTGGGTGGGGACCAGCAGTTGGTGTAATGGCCATGTTGCTCGATTCCCATGTAGTTGACCACGGTTCGAGTCCCAGGCCCTGACTTAAACTCACGCCAGGCCTGTGTGTGTGCGTGCCCAAGATCCCAAGAGGAGAATGGAGGAGAAGGGATTGTGGCATGGACATCTCCCTGGGGGAGGGGTGATCTCTCGCTTTCGATCTCTGTCTGTCTTTCTGGCAAGCACATGCGCCCCATAGTAAAAACCTCTCAAAAAAAAAAAAAAAATCTGGGTGATACATGCATAGTGCTAAAAGGAGGCAGCTTTCAACGGCTGCATGGTTGTGTAGGATTCAAAAAATGGTACAAGAACAGACAAAATGCACTTTTCATGAAAGTATGGAGAGGAGGGTGAGCAGACTCATCAGACAGACTCTTCTCTTTCCACGTTTCTGCTGCTGCAAGTACTAAGAGAACACAGTATAAAGAACGGGTTTTCTAGTCAATCAGACCTGAGTCCACACCCCAGTACCTGTTAACTATACGACTTCGAGAACATCACTGAATCTCTCTGTACCTCAGTCTGCTCATCTGTCAAATGGGGAAATACTCTGCAGGGTTCTTATGAGATTAGGACTGCTATCTGTACACATGGCACTCGGCACACGGCAGGGATGCTCAGGGTGGCAGCTCCTGTGACTCTGGCTGCTCGAGAAGGACCGGGTCGGTGGCGGCCCACTGGTCTGGGCTGCTTGTTCCTTAGAAGCAGACACCGGTGTGAGAGTCACCTAGCAGGCGTGGCCACAGACTCCGTAGGGGAGAAGCAGCCTCTCCTGTCCCTTAGAAGCCTGTGCAAATGTACTTAAGGCTTCCTGCTGAAAGGTTCTTAGTATTAACTAGTTTGTGTACTTACTAAAGTGTATTATCTGCATATAGTAGAATATTAACATTCTAAACAAAGGAATGAAATTTATGGTTCTACCCACCAGGTATGGTTTCTTCTACAGGGCTCTGAAGTCAATGAAATACAATAAAACGGAATATTCAGAATCTCCCCATTTTCTTCTAACTGTTCCTTGCCTATTAAAGCCACTTGTCATATAGTCAGGGAAATCTCTGACCTAATTCTTAAATGAAAGTCCAACTAGGTAAATATCTATGATTGTTTTGAAATATGAAAACAAAATAGGCAGATTTCCTCCTCCTCTCCAAATACACAACAAATCCAGTCAGAAAACAATACAAAGGAGAAAAAATGAGAATTTAGTTCTCTACTACCAAATAAAATTTAGGTTAAATACATGTTTTAAGTATCAAGTTAATGAGGTGATTAGCTTAAACTCATACAGTGAATACACCACTATGATCGTGCATGACTTCCTGACTGATTTACCGTGGGGAGGGAAATGCGTGCACCTCCCGAATATGCAACACCTGCACGTAAAACATACAACTTCGCATTTACCTTCCATTCTATGGCTTATCTTCCACTGCTCATGCCTCTGTCTTCATAAATGGTAATTTCAATCTAAACATGGCTGTTAAGAAAACACACTGTCGAACACAATGTATAAAGGAGGAATATGAAAGATGATGTGATGATCTGTACAGACTTTGTTTTCTGTTTGCTTCCTTAAAAATGATTAAATTCTTCCTATTAAGTTAAACATAATGAAAAATATAAGAAATGTAATTATTTGTAGTATTGTATATGTAGTTCTTTCCTAACCACTGGTAAACTTACTTTTTTTTAGGAAAAAAAATTCTGAAAATAATGCTTTATTGTAGAACTTGTGGGGGGAGTTAACTGAGAATCCATGGAGGTAATGAATTCAGGGGTTCAAACATGTCCTGAAATTATATAAAAACTTTTTCTTGGGAGGAGGTCGTGATCCCCTAAAAGTTTAAGAGCCGCTACTGCAGAGTGTAAGGAAAGTGCTAAAATTATTGTTGGCTGAAAAGCCTGAGCATGTGTGACCTGTGGATTTAGAAAAATTATTGCCCCACTTCTTTAGTTATCAAGCTAAATTGTTTTTTTTTCCATTCTGTTTACCAAGTTCCCTTAGTGATTTTTCAAAACTGATGATTCTGAGAACAAAGGTGACATCACACACTTGGCAGTGCAGGGACCTCCGCTCTCAGTGCTCAGCGAGCCAGGGCGCTGGAAGTCTCACCGCACACTGTGAGCTGATACGTTTCAAGGGGCCTGCTGTGCAGGGTTTGCAGCTGAGATGCATTACCCACACTACCCCATTATTACTACAGGATGCCCTCAGAACCACCAAGAAAGATTCTGGTAGCCAGAATGCTAAACAGCTCACAGAGGCCTACACAAGGCAAAGGAAGAAGACATGCTTCCAGAGAAAAGGCTGCAGACGGGAAGCCCAAGGGAGGTGTGCAGGTCACAGGCAAGTATGGGAGAGGGGAGGGACGGTCTCCTTAGCCAGTGCCAGGCAGTGCCGTCGACATTTTCCTTTTAGAGATATTTAGACCTTACGATCCGGGCTAAAAAGATACAACTCGAAGTCCTCTCTCAATGGGGTCTGTCAGGAGGAGGCCTTGGGGAGCGTATATCTTCTCATTCTGCTCTTGAATGTATTTGGAGACTTTCTTCAGAACCTGACAGAAAGAAACACCACAGCATTTTACACACTTCAGTAGATTTCCCCTTGAGTGCCAGCTAGATCTCAAAATAGGCAGTGGGACCACTCTTGAGGCAGTCAGACGGACGGTCCCCTGGCGACCACAGCTGATGACCGGCTCACATCAGCTCCACGCAACACACAGCCCAGCGCAAGGGGCCCTTCAGGTCCCAGCAGCTTCCACACGATGCCAACACGATGCCCACGGAAGCAGCTGAGGACCCGCCCCCTCCGCCCTACTTCAGGCGCCCCTGTCCTGAACGCAGAGAGACGGTTGACTGTGTAAAGGCTAATTATGCTTCCCACAGAGTGCAGCGCAGAGTGCCGTTCTACTGTGGAGGACAGTTCTTGGCCTTCTTTCACACTTAAGCACTTCTCCCGTTTGCATGTGCCCATCAAGTCTAAGTACCGACATAAGGCTGGCCTATAACAAGAGTAGCTCGATCATTTAAAACTGCAAAGCCGATCCCCCTTGTACAGCACGTGGGCATCAGCTGGTGCAAGGTCCTGATGCCCGCAGAGTCTTGTGCCACTCTGTGGCCACACGGAGTGCTGTCGTAGCTCATGCCTGCCTCCTGGACAGGAAGCTGTTTATAAGTTTAGAGTGAAGCTTGAAAAAGTCAAAGCAAATGCAGACACAAACCAGAGAGAACATAAAGGAACTTCTCAAAATTGCCAAATCTCCAGCTTTAATCAGCAATTCTGAGACAGATAAGCTGGGAGAAAATAAATCTTAATAGCTATATCCAAAATCAAAGAGTTACATGGTTTATTTCAGGCTCAAAGTCATCTAGTCTTTTTTGGCTCAAATGTTCAAAGAGGCTTTGATCTGCCTCTTTAAACAACAATGTATTTCTTTAAATTCACACTATGGGCAAATGATAAAGTCACAACTTTATGTGTTGACCATGACATAAAGGGAAAAAATGTTTGAAATTAAGCAATAATTTAAGTATGGGTATAAAATATACCAGGCCAAACTATAAATTAGGATGTTACAACTAAGATGCTTTGATATTTTTAAAAATAGGTATTATTCAAAGAGCAATCTGTATTTTAAAAAATGATAAAGTAGCTTAAGAATACTATTTCTAGAAAAGAGGTTTTTTTCCTTCAACTAATTACCCGAAACAACACATATAACACCGTCCCATTTTCGGCTCTCCAAGAATTTGAGCTGTGCTTAGTCTTTATGAGCAAAACTCTTAGGCATTATCTTCCAATCAGACCGTCAATCACCCTAAAGTAATGAACAGAAGGAAGAGGCCCAGCTCAGGGCTCTCCATCTTTTCTCCAATTTCCTTCTCTGCCCTCCTGCCAGAAACAGAAACTGGAGACTCATTCTCCCTTCATCCCAGTCCCTTAATACTAGGGAGACACTCAGAAAAACACTTGCATGGCTGGCTTCAGAGAAAGGATTCCTTCAGAGCAGCTTCCCTCCTTGCCTCCTTGGGTACAGGTTACTAACAAAGAAACAGCATTCCTTTATTTGATTCAAGCATAACTCTGCTGGGCAAGGTTTTTATTTAAGCTTTAGTAGTATTCAAGTGTACCTGAACAAGAGTTTGGAAAGCAAACCATTCGTTTTTCTTTTTCTGTAAGTTCCAAATCTTTTACTATCTTGGTGAAAGCAACACTGTTTTAGGACAAGATATTTTTAAGTTCTTAAGTCTCTGTAGCGGTAGGAAAGCATTAATATGAATAAACTCATCCCGCAATCTCCATAACAGGACAATGAACCATTCTTGCCCCAGGAAGGTTATGTGGACACATTACATTTCATTATTTTTGGCAAATCAATGTTAAAACAAAAAGTAATATTTAACGAAATTATCTGTTAGTCTCCAAACCACAACAAAATCTTCACTTGTATAATAGTTACAAAGTGAAACACAATCAGACCTCGGGAAAGACTGCTGTCCTCCCTGAGAACATCCCACTGGAGAAAGCCCACTGAACTTGCAAGAAAAACAGCTGGAGGGAGGCGAAACAGGAAGGCCGGGCCGTCAGTGTTTTAGAAAACGCCCACACTGCCCCTCACTGTGCTTGGCGCGGAGATGACAGCACAGAGGGGTGTTTGCTGTTGATGAACAAGGCACAGCTCCTGGGAGGGGAACTTTCTACAGCCCATTTGTTCCCTAATTAAAATGGGTGGCAACAATGGAGAAATAACACTGAAGTCTTTATTTTCATTTTAAATCAATCAATAGCACATTATAGGAAAAAAATGCATGATTGTTCTAGTCAGTTTTAAAAGGCCTATTTATGATTTCAAAAAATTTTACCCACATGACAGCGTGTTAGCACCACTGTTTTGGCTTAGACTAGGAATTTCAATGTTTAACACAATAGAGACTAAATGACTCGGCCCTGTCCTTTCATCAAGTAGAGAACAATAGCACAGAAATTGTGGCTTTCATTTTTATAATTTTATCAAAAATACAAACATACATCTTTAAAGTTTTCCTTTAAAAAGTAAAGGTACATTGTATTTTAGTTATGACCATTCTATTAGTAACTTTGCATAATCTAGTTTAATGTGTTCACTTTCTTTAATTAAAAAAAAAAAAAAAAAAAGGAAAATCACCTATATAAAAAATGTGGCCAAGACTCAAGTCTTGGTTTCTTGATTAATTTTATTTGGTCATTACTTGCTTGATGACAGTTGCTTCATAACAAGAAAGAAACCTCTGATTGAGTCCACAAAACTTTACCTTATACGTTGCTAACAATCTCAACTGTTAGCCCAATATACGGGACCAATTCCCACTGCATTTCTGAGATGGAGACCCATCTTCCAAGGCTAATATCAAAAGGATTTTGAGAGCTGCTAAGTGTTTTAGCATCCAGATAAATTAGCAGCTGGCTAAATGTGATGAGAACTGAATTGAAAAAAAAAAACAAAAACCTTTATGAATTCACAAATATCTGATTAAAACTTTACACACTAACTTCATTTTAAAATCAATTTCAAGCAAACACTGTTAATCATTTACTATGTATAAGATAATTAATTCTTGTTTTGTTTTTAAGATTTTTGCTACAGGGTGTGTGTGCTCACCAGAGAGAGACAGGCAGAAACAGAGAAGGAAAGTGAGAATTCATCACCAGATGGCCATGCCACAATCCCCTCTCCTCTATCATCCTCTCAGGATTTGCGGGCAAGCATACACACATGCCTGGCATGTTTTTCAAGCCTCCAGGTCCAGGATTCGAATAGTGGGATCATGTGAGATCCAGTACCTTAACCACCAGGCTGGGCGTGGTGGCGCCCGCCTTATGGCAAAGACCTTAACCACCATGCTACTGGCTAGTCCAATGTATTAATTCTAAGATCCAGTAACAACTGAGAGAACTCAGAGAGACCTTGTCTAAGATCCCATAATTAGTTTGTAATTTGGCTGGCAACAAATTACCAACTTCTTTTTACAACTAACATCAGTAGGATGTATGTATCTATTTCAGCAAATATTCATAGACAGGGCCAATCTCTCAGTGTAGTGCTTAAGCGCTGTGCATAAAACAATCCCACATGGTTGACTGAGGTTCAAATCCTGGCTCCAGTGGCTTGCAATACATATTGGGTGCAAGTTTAATTGTTGCTACTAAATTATAAACTCTACCAAGGTCAGCAACCGTGTCTGCCTCAGCATACTGCTTAGTACAGTAGGCTTTTGATAAATAATTATCAAATGAATGAATCCTCACTCCCCTCTCACCCAGTGTATTATTAATGAGGAGACACTAAGACTGAATACAGACTGAAAGCTGAAAATGATCCTTGATCATCCTTTGAAAGTTAAACAGGGAGCCCTGTTAGCTGCGTTTCTGTGTGAGAAGCAGCTCAGCTATGTGAAAATACCATTTTATGTGAGATAGAATCATAGTTAACACTAAGAGACTACATGCCAGGGTGCTAATAGCTAAAAATCCTTTAGCTGCAGCTACAACCACTCTCTGCTACAGAGTCCCCGACAATCACGAGGACACTGCCATTAGGTGGGGTATACACGTGTAGATACTTTACAGCATTTCATCCCCTAACAATTGCCAGGCTTCAGTGATCCAGTAGGGCTTTATGGTGATTAAGTTAAAGCCATTCATTTATAAAAGCTGGGCTGGCAGCCTCGTTGCTAGGGGCACAAGACATCGTATGTGACCACAGTTCGATCTTGGCCCCAGAATTTTGAAAAATACACTCTGTGTGTGTGTGTACACACATGCACACCTAAAATCCTGATGGGATGAAGAAGAAGAAATTGCAGAGTGACCATGCCCCACTGGGGGTGCTTTCTCCCTCTGTCAAGCACACATGCCCGCTAACAAATTAAACCACCACCACCACCAAACAAACAAACAAACACAATAAAAACCAGTCAGTGACTGCCTAACTCCCATGAGTTGGTGTTAGCCATTAAAAGGGATAGAAAAAATGGTTAAGGCATTGTCCTTGACTTCAAGAAAAATACATACTTGAGGATGATGTCTTCAGTTCTTATTTTTATAATGGTACATTATACACTAGCTTTTCTACCTTCTTAAATGTAGACAGGGCTGAACCCTGGCCAATTCTACGAGGGCGTACCAATTCTGACCTGTGTCTAAAAGACTTGAGACCCTTCCTATGGGCTCTGAATACATGAACAACAGTAACATTTGAATCATTGTTATAAATGCCCCCATAAACTTGGTGCCAACTGTCATCATATAAACATAAATGTGCAATAACTCACCTGCTACATGAGTCTACGAGAGCTTGTGAAAGCAAAGGCAGCCTCACCTTTTCATAATGAGTCTCCATGCATAAGAAGATGGTGTATGCTGTTAAACAAGCCAAACAGCCTTCCAGGTATGACTGGCCCCCGAGCTTTTCTGCTTCTGCATAGAGGTTATTCAGAGTTCGGACTGTTTCTTCAAACTGCTGCCTATCAATCTGCAGGGAGACAGAATTTAGACAGATTCTGGAAAAAAGATCAACAACTCATGAATGTTCGCTGTTATCTTGCTCTTCTGTTAACAATCTAACCTGATAGTCAGCAAACAATTTCTTAGGCTCAGATTAAATCTGAACCTGCTACTGCAACTGCTTAGCAGTTTTGGGTATTGAATATCTTCAAAGCTCTGTATGCTATTTCTTTATATATGTACTTTATACTGAATGTCAAGTCACTTAAATTGTACAACTTATGCCTTCTATTAATTTATATTCATACTTATTGAGCACCTATTACCAGATATAATGACAGGTCTAGAGAAAGACGAGTAAGATACAGTCTCAATCCTCCAGAGTTCGCAGTTATGGAAGCAGGACAGATACGTAAATATGCAAATGTCATAAACTGACGGGGTACTATAACAGAGGCACACTAAAGTATAATGGGGTGCAAAAGGAAGGAGAAGGTCCCTGGGAGCAGGTTAAATTTTTTTTTTTTTTATAAGATTTTTGCACTTGCCAGAGAGGGGGAAAGTGAGAAATCGCTGGCTAGAGGGGACAGCCATGCAGCAATCCCTTCTCCTCCACTTTCCTCCTGGGATTTTGGGCATGGACATGTGCACATGCCTCACATGTTTCTCAAGCTGCCAGGTCCAGGATTTGAACCATGTCCCTAGCTATGTAGGATCCAGCACTTTCACCACCATGCAACTTGATGGCCCAGGAGCAGGTAATCTTGAATGCCTAAACACTGAAATTTAGGAGGCAAATGAACATTTTAAGCAGAAGTTAAAAGATGCAAGTTTTGTACTGTTTGTCAATCTCCCACCTCTTTAATTCCTTTTATTATAATTTCTGATTTACATTTACTCATTGTACGCATTTGTGAAGTGTAGTTTTTCAAAGCATGTATCCAATGTGTTAATCAAATCAAGGACATAAACATATTAGTCACTGTCAGTAAAAAAACCACTACATTATTTTGTGCATCTTTGATAATCATTCTACAAGGTTTTTTCTTTCCCCCTTCTTGGATGTATATATTGAGTTGGCGGTGACCTTTTTTTTTTTTTTAAAAAAAGATATTTATTCACTGAACATCTTTACAGCATACAAAATGGGTTCTCCCAGTGTGACTACAGTGAGTATCAGTCTTGACTCATCTCCTACCTCTCTGTTTTGTTTGCTTTTTTAAGAGAGATTTTGCTATAGGGTGCATGACCTCGCCAGAGAGACAGAGAAAATGTGAAAAATTCCCCCCAGGGGAGACGGCGCACTGCAATCCCTCCTCCTCCGTTCTTCTCTCGGCATCTTGGGCTCGCACACATGCGCCCAGCGTGAGTTTCAAGCTGCTGAGTCTGGGACTCACACAGCAGTCAGCAAGGCTGGAGTCTACTGCCCCAACCACCACGCCATCTGCTGGCTCCTCCTCCTCCTCTTTTAAACTAATTTTTGTTACTAACAGCTCCCAATGAACAAGGCAACCTCGCAAACTACGCCAGCTCTTCTTCAGCCCCCGTGACCCCGTCACCTCTTTTTGTTCAGTGACACCACTGCCACACATTTACCCAATTCTGCGACTGTCATCCATTTTTAACAATCTAACTATGTGCTTATCATTTATTTTTCCAGTATCACTCTACTTTCTTCTAATAGTATTTTATAGATTTCAAATCTCAACTTTTTATCCTGGGACTGGCAAGGCCTATTAGTAGCCTATTTCATACAACACTATCAGTCGTGGTAATAAATCCCAATTTTTCTGTCCTCATTCTAAATCTTACTCACCGAATGCTTCCCTTATTCCTAAAATTAAAAGCTACTTATTTACAGGCCAGATGGTGACGCAGTGATACTGCAACTGGACTCACATGGGAAAGGTCCTGAGTTCACACCCTGGGCCCTCCCTGGGCTGCCAACTGACAGTGCAGGTAGATGGTGGCAAGAAGGCCCTGCTGGGGATGCCTGTCTCTCTAGCTCTCTCTCATTAAAATAAATATAAACAACAACAAAAACTTTAAAAAAAAAAAAAGCTATTTACTTATAGGTTCTCTTTGATGATGTCTTTCTTTTCAATGCCAGGGTGCAGATGCACGCACATGTATGAGAGAGACAGCACCTCCCAGTGGGGTGTGGTTACACTGTGGTCCCTTTTCCTCCATCAGTCAGGATTTTGAACATGCACACACACGCGACTCATGTGCTTTTCAAGCAGCCCGTATGGTATTGGAACCACGGTGGCTGTGTGGGAGCTGGCTCCCAAGCAGAGCACTTAGCTGCTGCTCTACAGATCTGCCTGTGACATCTTTCTTTACACAGAAATAGACTCAGGAGGGGCTGGCAGGTGGTGTGGTGGTTAAAGGCGCTGGATTCCCATGTGGCTGACCACGGTTTGAGTCCCGGACCTGGAGGCTTGCTTTCTCGCTTTCCCTTTCTCTCTCTCTTTCTGTCTCTGTCTGGTCAAATTAAAAAATAATAACAACAAATGGAATTAAATAAATAGCTAATTCTTTTTTTTTTTTTTTTTTAAAAAGACAGACTCAGGAAAGAAAAAGTCAAAGAACCTCGAAACAGAGTATGAGATAGTATACTCCTATGGACAAAGTTTTCTAAAAGTATAAAACAAGTTATGATTGACTTTAGGTTAATAAAATCCCTTAGGTTAGAAGTTGTTGAAATCATTTGTCCTTCACATGGAAAGCACTGAGGGCACCCTGAGTCGGTGGCATGAAAAGGTTTAACGTAACCTTTAAAGTGGTGGTGCTCTACCTCTTATTAAAAGGAGCTATTTTAGGGAACCAGCAGTTAGCGTAATGGCTATGTCGCTGGACTCCCACGTAGTCGACGGCGGTTTGTGTCCCGGACCCGGTGGCTTAAAACTCACGCCGGGCGTGTGTGCGTGCGTGCCCAAGATCCCGAGAGGAGAATGGAGGAGAAGGGATTGTGGTGTGACCATCCCCCCTGGGGGGTGATTTCTCGCTTTCTGTCTCTATGTCTCTCTCTGTCTGTCTGGCGAGCGCACGTGCCCTACAGTGAAAATCTCTCCAAAAAAAAAAAAAAAAAGGAGCTAATTTAAATGTCCCTGCATATTAGTTTCTGACAAGGTAGGGTTAGGGCTCAGACCAGGGGCAGTAGTCTTAGATGCAGGGTCAAGACTGGTCATCTGGGAACCTACGTCCGAGTCCCCTTCCTGAAAAGGGCAGAGGGGAACAGCTCAGTCACCACGCACTCATGGCACGTAATGTTCGCCCAACGGGCCTTCGTCAATGCCTTCGGTTCGTCCACCAATAAATCTACAAAGTCTAAATAATTTCAGTCATACACAATTTGCCTACAATGTTATGATCTGAAGAAGAAAGTCTTTGATTTATATTTCTTTACACATGATGATTCAAAACCATGGTCTCCAACCCAGAAACATCTTATTTCTTTCAGATCAGAATTACTGTTCTTACCAGAAACATTCACTTATATGCCATAATATATAATAACTCATAAGTTATTCCAAAATTACAATGCTTTACAGGGTGGAGACAAATCACAGGTCAGTTAAAAAAAAAAAAAGAAAGAAAAGGAAAACGAAAGCAAAAACAAAAACAAAAACAAGGTAAAGCATTTTAAATGGGCTAATCAGGAAAGAAAACGGGACCACCAGGTGGTGTAACGGTTACTTTGCTTGACTTTCATGTAGTCGACCATGGTTTGAGTCCCGGACCCAGCAGCTTAAAACTCATGCTGGGCACATGTGCATGCATCCCCCAAATCCCAAAATGAGAGTGGAGAAGAGATTATGGCATGACCATTCCCCCTGCGGGGGGGGGGGGGGGGTTTT